ATGAGCTCAACATTGACCTGTTTACTTTGAGGCGGTGTCAGGTCGTCACACAGATCTGATGAAATGGCAAAATGTTTAGATGGCATGGCTGAAAGCTTAGGATGCCAAATGAGACAACGCAAAATCAAGCTGTGGTCCTGAAGCACAGTAATTCTTGGCATTACAGGTTTCTTCTGGGCCTCAGTTTTCCTCCCTGGAGAGAGTTATTAGTATCATCACCGCTCTCAAGAAAGTTGAAGCTCTGAGAGTGGAATTGATAGGCTAAGGTCTGACGGTTAATGAAAGATAAGATTTCATTTCTAACAAGATGCTTTCTTTTACAGTATAGTGTGTTACCCTGAGCTCTTTCTAGTTGGGGTGACTGGGGATGATCACATTATGAAGTTAGAGCTAGGGTGCCATCCTTTATGGCCCAATCAGGCCAGTTTTTACAGTGACAGTGGGCACTATTAATAAATATGGTGGGGGCATTTGTAGGGTCTCCATGGGAGAGAGTACAAATGTACCCCTCCTGCACTTCAGCCCATCATCTGAAGAGGTACTTCTCAGAGAGATTGTGGAATCACACCTGGTGGGTTTTCAGGACACCTTGCTTGCTTGCTTGCCTATGGATGCTGTTCCAGACCCGTTCCCTTCCTGCCTTCCCCCCACCACCTACTCCCCATTTCATGCATTTGTCCACTCGTTATACTCAAACCACCATAATCATTCCATGCTGAAGAATCACGGAATGTCGTCCATGCATCCGTTGTATTGCCATTGTCTTATGTTTGCTTATTTCTGATTATGCCTTCTAGTTGCTCCGGTCTGCTGCGGACTGGTCTGCTGGTATAAAGTACCATGAAGAGTCTATCCACGCTGCTTATGTGCATGTGATTGAGGAAAGCAAGCACTATATCTACATAGAAGTAAGTCCTGCTCATGGAAATTAGGGTGTGAGAATCTGTCTTCCCATAAATACCATACGGAGATGATAGAATCCTAGAACCCAGTTAAAAACAAAACAAACACAAAAGCAAATCCACTGCCATCAAGTTGTTTACAACTCTTTGTAACTCCATGGGGGCACATTAGAACTGCCCCCTGGGTTTTCTGAGGCTGTAAATCTTTAGAGAAGCAAATTGCCTCATCTTTCTCTTGCAGAGGGGCTGGTGGGTTCAAACCATCAACATTTTGGTTAGCAGACAAATGCTTCACCCAGTGCGTCATCAGGACACTTGAACCCAGGACCTGCCACATTAATATGTATATGAAGAAAAATGAAGAAAGCCTTAGGCTACTTGAATTTCCCCTTCCCTAACATGCCTGAAATTCCTTCGCCTTTTCATTAGCTCAAAACGGTACCCCTAAATTCTTGCTATGAAAATGCCTTTAGTTGCTCCCAGGTGTTATTACCCAGAAATACATCAGCAGGGTGGATGTGCATGTTATCATTTGGTTTGTCTTGGAGGGTTTCCGTGTGACTATGTACTGCCTCCTGGCTGGGGGTATCGGAGTAGGGGCTATGCCAGGACAGGGACAGGGAGAAGGGAGCTGTCAGGACATTAAATGCTGTGTGAACCTCTGCTCATTGTAAAGTAATTTCAGACTCTGGAATTTGTGTTTAAACTGTGGGAAGAAATCGGGGGGGTGGGGGGTGGGGGGAGCTGGGTTTAGTTTGTAACTTTAATTACATCTCCAAGTAGATCAGAAACTATTGCAATGAATTTAGAAAACTCTGAAAAAATTAAAAGTCTTAAAATGGAAGAAAAAAAAGAAGTCAGAGCTGGTCTTCCTTCTTCATCTTTTCTCTCATAGATAACTATAGGGAGATATGTTAGCTGGGGAACAAACCGGAACAAACCATGCTAGCTTCTTTTTCTTTCCCTTTGAATTCTGTTCCGTTCTTCCTCCAGATTGTTACAGCTCATTCAAAACATACAGGGAAGAACTGGAACTTTATGTGTTCATTTTGGGGGGTCGGACACTGAGAAGGCCAATTAAAACTGTCAACAGGATCGGTGCCGTGCGAGGAGCCTGGCAGTGTGACAGTGAAATGTTTGACTGCCTTCCCAAAGGTTGGTGGTTCGTACCCATCACACAGGCCTGGGGAGCTGCTCCTGTCAACATCACAGCCTGGAAAGCAGTTTTGCTCTGTAACAAGGGTTGCTCTGAGCTGAAATGGATTCAACACCACCTCGCAAGAACAGCCAGTGCATGATGGCATCCAGGGTTGGATCATGGAAGGATGTTAGTGGGAAAGTCCCCGAGCTCCAGATAAAAGCTGGACTAGAGGAGCATTAAAATGACGCATGCTGACAATTGTACCACAGCCGTGTCACACTGCTCATCCACTCATGCTCCCACTCACGGCCATTGAGTACATCGTGACTCCAAGTGTCTCTGGGATGGCGTGGAACTGCCCCTGTGGGTTTCCGAGACTGTGCGCCTTATGGGCGCAGAGAGCCTCCTCTTTCTCCCGAGGAGCGGCTGCTGGTTCCTAACTGCTGACCTCGTGGTTAACGGCCTAACGTGTCACCGCCCACTATGCGACCAGGGCTCCTGCTCCATCTCTCTTTAGTAACATTTGTATCAACTTTGTTTTTAAGGGTGCCCCCGTGTTAAATGAGGTCATTATCACCACATAGATAGACAAGGCTGTCCAGCTGGGTGACCCTGCTCAGGTCAGCAGTCACTGGGCCCCTCCTCAAGGACAGGACATGAGGCCACGGTGTGCTCACAGCTGCTGAGGAAAGCGCTGTGATTCTTTGTAAGCTACTCTGTGGGCCTCTTTGTCATCTGAAATCAGAAAACGAGTGTGGTTTGAGGTGTTGTGCTAAGGGAACATACACTCTCAACGGAGTGTTTGCCCAGTGTCTTCCTGTGACTGTCTTCTGGAGACAGTTTATAGATTTTTGTACTTTAGTGTACGTATATGTATTTAAAATGTAGTAAAAATGATACATTGCAAAGAGAGGATAATCGTGTATTGCAATTCCATTTATGTCTCTCTTTACTTGGAGCTGATTCATAAAGGCCATTTCGTGATGCTGCTGTTTGTGATCAGGTGTCACCCGGTCAATGCTGACTCAGAGCAGCCGGATGCACCATCGAAGGACACACTGGCTGGTCCTACACCAGCCTCAGCCCTAACCACGTGTGAGCCCAGGGTCGCAGCTGCTGTTTCCTCCATCTCATTAGGGATCGGCCTCTTTTTCTCTGACTCTCCACCAAGCATGCTATCTGCCGCAGGCAGCGATGGCACTCTCCTGATCACATGGCCAAAGAGCATGTACATGAGACAGGCTCATCACCCTTGCCTTTAAGCAGCATTCCGGCTGTACGTCCTCCGTGGCAGATCTGTTTGCTCTTCTGGGGCTTCACAGGTTTTATGTAGATTGCCCTGGTAAATTGCCAATGGATTGTGTCTGTGCAAAGAGACCGCGTAATGTTTGTAGTTTTTTTTAACCTAATTCTAAACATTTCTTCGTGAAATAGCTAACTCTTCTACATGGCTATGATGATAATGTTGAAACCTGATTTTCCAGCAACCGTTTTAAAGAATATTTTCTTGATAATGTGGATAGCAGAAGTGATAAGCGGGGGAAAGGAACAAAAACAGTTCAAGTTTCCATAGTATTCATTTATTCAGATGAGACTCGATGCTCCTGTAAAGATGTACAGTCTGGGAAATCCCCGGGGCAGTTCCACTCTGCCCCGTAGGGTCACTGTAGCCAGAATCATCTCGGGGGCAGTAACAATGAGTAAGGGGATTTGAGGCTACTTAAAATAGAAGTCTCTACCCTTCCATCAGTTTGGTGTACTCTGATCTCTCGTGTCTTGCTAAGAAACTGCCATCTGTGGTACCGGTATTGACATACCAGTAGGGTCACTCATGTTGGGCAGGTGTCCAGACTAAGAGAGACAAGGAAGAAAGGCCTGGCGGGGTATTGCCCAAAGCTTGGCCACTGGTGATCTATGGATCACCACAGACTCTTGCCCAACTCACCTGCATTGGACACATCAGTAGGGATTGATTGGCAGAAGAGGGCATTATAGTTGGTGAAGTAGCAACTCTTCGATGTGATGGATTGGCACGCTTTGGCACAAGAGCTTGTTGGCACGATAGCTGAGTGGACGTGCTGGTGGTTGTGAGGGTGATGCACGACTGGGCAGTGTGTGGTTTGATACTTGAGGTTGCCTTAAGTAGACAGCAAAACTCTGCCCAGAGGCCATGGCAACTAACAACAACAACAACAACATAGAAAATTGGGGCTAATAAGACGCTCAAACAAATGAAACAAAGCAAAAGTGGGTAGAAGGAAATGGTGGGTGAATGGTGTGGAAAATTAAACCAGCTGCAGGTATCCACCTTGTTCAAAAGGTGAACTTAGCGGAGATAGGATATCTGCCAACAGAATTTTATCAGACTCATTGGTCTAATGTATAGGTCCGGTGGAGGGGGACCTTGTTCTTCTGTTGATTAAATTTGGAATGTTCCTGGTGTGCCAAGAAGAGACTGTAGAACATCACCTTCCACCAATTTGCCTGGTGACATAAGCACCCAGCCTTGCATGAGATATAGAGGAGACCCAGGAAATCATCCAGAAGCACATGATAGACGTGTTATGTGTCTGAGGAGACGTCTCCTCTTCTGAGGGCCGTTTCCATACACCCCTGGGTTCTTCCGGTGAGCAGAGCACGTCTGCAGGGTGAACCATTTCTAAATACCGTGATAGGCTTTGTTTTACTTTCCCTTATGCACATCTGATGGTGAAAAGAAAGACTTACGCGGTTGTCCTGTTGTTTCCCACAGAATCAGTTTTTCATAAGCTGCGCCGATGACAAAGTTGTGTTCAACAAGATTGGCGATGCCATTGCCCAGAGGATACTGAAAGCTCACAGGTAATAGTTGCGGCTTCTCAGCAGGCGTGGGTACTGCTAATAGGATTTTTGGATGCCTGTTTAAAATCACTAGCCTTTCCCAGCAGACGTGGGTTAATTCGTTTTAACTCATAGCAAGTTAGTGATGCCTTACATCTGACTCAGTTGGTGAGAAAGAGTCCAGTTTTGAGGGAATCAGAATTCTTCCAGGACCCAGTCATTTTTTTCCTGGAGTGTTGCTTTCTAAAGTGCTAAGCTTAGGATCTGATTTATTTAACTGCAGCTCATGAGCTGCATTCACTTAAAAAAACGGAGTAAAATATGATTTTTAATAGATTATATTTAAACTCACATCACCCTTTGCCTTACTTCTTCGGCTCCCAGGACTGAAGAGCGCTCTTGAGCTATCATTCAGCTACCACACACTTCACTCACTGACAGCGTGACCTTCAGTGATTTTTATATTGTCCACAGGTTGTGTTACCATCAGCCGATCCATTTTATAATGTTTTAATTGCCCCCAAAGAAACCCTCTACCCATAAACAGGCACTCCCAATTCCCTCCCAACCTGCCCAGCCTTCATCAGCTAATAAGGTTATCCCTGTAGATTTGTCTGTTCAGAATCATACAATAGGTAGTCTGTTGCGTATGACTTCAGATGACTTAGTGTGGAGTTTACAGGGCTCGTCCATAGTATAACATGCCTCCGGACTTCGTGACAGTTGAAGGCCAAATAAAAGTCTATTGTCTGAGTATACCATAGGGTTTGCTTTGGTTTTTATCCATCCACTGGTTTTGATAGGCATTGTGCTTCTTTCCACTTTGGTGCTATTATCAATGACCTGCTATCAATAATTTTGAGAAAAGTTTTATGTGAATACATGTTTCCATTTCTCGAGGGGTAGAATTCCTTTTTTCCCATAGTTCAATGGTATTTTAAAAGAGTTTTATATTCATCACCACAATCAGTTCCAGTACATCGTCCCTCCTCCAAGAGTCATCATTTGCTCCCCAATTCTGCTCAACCTTCCCCACCCTCAGACCCTCCACAAGCCATTACGTCATTTATTGGCTCTATACACCCACCCCTTCTGCGCTTTCTTTAATGGAAAACATACTACAGACAAAAAAAAAAAAAAAAGACCATTGACAATATTAAAATAAGCCAGAGAGAAAACAAGTAAAAATATTTAAACCCAGAACAAATCCAGAGTGGTTCTAAGAGGGAGATCAACTGACCAGGTACCTTATTATACGATATGTAGTTCATTCCACCAAAATCAAGTTCACAATAATCTCTGAGTGTAGGACAATTTATGTCCCTCAACTGTGCTCAGAGAGGATCTTCCAGAGGCTTAATCCACATAGTTACTCTGCAGATGTATTTTGGGTTCCCACTGTCCTCCCTGGTGGTATAGTGGTTACATATTGAGCTGTGATCCACATGGTCAGTAGTTCAAAACCACCAGCAGCTCTGCAGGAGGAAGATTGGACTTTCTACTCCTGTAAACAGTCACCGTCTCAGAAACCCACAGGGAGGTCGCTGTGAGTCAGCACCAACCCGATGGCAGTGAGTTTGAGGGTTCTTTACTGTCCTCCATAGCCTTCTGAAAGTGGGGTGTTCACAATTTGAGCTCTGGTACCATTCCCTCTGTTGTATTCAGATTTTGTTCTTTGTCATCCATGGATCACACAGGCTGGTGTGCTTCTTCCATGTGGATTTAATTGACCGCTCACTTAGGTGGCTGCTTGTTTGAAGAGTAGCCTTTAAGATCCAGGGGTCGAATTCTTGAGTCATGTGATAACTCTGCATTTAATAGTTTGAGGAACTGCCAGGCGGTTTTTAAACGTGGCTGTATGGTTTTATATTTCCATAGGCAGTTTATATGGGTTCCGTTTTTTCTGTGTCTTCACCAGGACGTATCATAGTCTGTCCTTTTCCTTCTAGACGTCTAGTGAGTCTGGGAAGGCATCGTAGTGGGTATCGTTTCCATCGCTCTGACGACGAATGATATTGCGTGACTGTCTTTGCAGGTGGCCATCTGTATATCATCTTTAGAATAATGCTTCTCTAGGTTTTGCACCCATATTTAGTGGAGCTGCATATCTTTTTATTTTTGAATTGTAAGATTTCCTGATGTATGTGCTCTAGCCATAAGTCCCATATCAGACATCTGGTCTGCAAATGTTTTTTCCCATTCAATAGGTTTTTACTTTATTGATGGCGTCCTTCAAAGCATAAATGTGGTTTTTGATAAAATACAACTTACCTGGGTTTTTTGGGGAGTTTTTTGCTTCTTATACTTTTGTTGTCACAGCTAAGAAACCATTGCCAAATCCAAGTTCTTGAAGTTTCATGCTTGAGTTTTCTCTTAGGCCTTTGAACCATCTTGAGTTATTTTTTTTATATGGGAGGCTTCAAAACTTCATTTGAATGGAACTAAAAGATAATGGAATTTTTCCATGAACTTTTGAAGCACTTGTACATGGTGTGAGGTATGAGTCTCAGCTCATACTTTCACATATGGATGTCCATTTGTCTCAGCTCATTCATTGACAAGATTCTTGTTTCACCAGTCACTCTCTTGGCATCTAGTTCTACTTCTTTTTGTGGCTAATTTCAGATTTGCATAAAAACAGCAAAATAATTTTATGTAATTGTTTCATCTCATTGGGCACATCGAGTGTTTTATTTAGTACATAACACATTTGGGAATAAAACCTTCGTATCTTTCATTGTCATGTGACTCTTCCATGTGTTTCACATAATAATGTGGAGATTCATAAATTTAAAACTATCAACACTTTATATGATTCATAGTTTATATTTTGTTGAATCTTCACAACTTCTCTTAAGAGTAGGACATGTAGCTATTGTTACTGTTATTTTTATTAATCATTTTATTGGGGGCTCTTACACATAACAATCCACAATTCAGTTGTATCAAGTGTGGTTGTACATATGTTGTCATCATCATTTCCAAAACATTTCTACTTTATCCCATGGTATCAGCTCCTCTTTTTTTCCCCTCCCTCCCCCTCTACTGTTACTATTATTGTAGTTGTTGTTGCCATCCTCACTGCCAGGGTTAAAAGGTGAAATTCAAGAAGGGATATAGGACTTGTCCAGGCCACTTCCGATCCTAGGCAGACATGGCCTGAGACCACAGCTCATAACTTAGATGTTATAATGGCCCACCCTTGCACCACCCCTGTAATTCGAGTCCCTTGATAGGTAGACTTGAAGACCATCTTGGTATGGTTCCAAACTAAGTCAGGCGCCTTGCTCCTTGGCACCCTCTCTCCCCATGGACCAGTCATTGGATGCTGGCTGACTCCAGGAAGCAAGCTGACCTGCGATATGCAGGCCCCCTAGGCCATGGAGGACAATTCCTGGAGAAGGCCTCTGTGGTGAGTGAGCAGCCACTGTCCCACACTCTGGGTGGCAGAGGAAATATCTCTCTTGAGCCCATGGTGGGGGTATGTGGGCAGCTCATAACAATAAGGGGCACGTGCTGCAGGGTGTGCAGTCGGTCACATCCTTGATGACGCGTCATAACCACCTCAGGACAAAAATGCAGACAGCTGAACTCTACTCAGGCTTACAGAATCAGAATCCCTTTGGAATCAGGCCCAGGGACCTGTATTTTATGATGTTCCCCAGGTGCCTCCAAGAGGCATCCAAGATGGGTTTGCACTCACCTAGAACCGCGGAAATGGCCAGGACAAATGAATGGTGCATTTACATTTACATGGCCTTGATCATCCTCTGCCTTCTCATATAATGTTTTAAGATGACTTAAATGCAGTCTTGCTAATCGTCTCACACACACACACCCTTGCAGATACATAGATTTCTTACAGACAGTGCTCCATCTCATAGCAATCCTGTAGCACAGAATAGAACTACTCCTTTGCATTTCTGAGCCTGTAAGTCTTTATGGGAGCAGAAAACTTCCTCTTCTCCCCGGAGAAGGGCTGGTGGGTTTGAACTGGTGACCTTGTGCTTAGGAGCCCAACCTGGAACCCACACCACCAGCAGGGCTCCTAGAGTGTTGCCAGGGCTCAGAGTTGACTCGATTGTAGTGAGTTGGGCTTCTGAGTTTTGCCAGTGCCCTGATTGTATGGGGTAATTTATGTCTCCCTGACAAAAATGTCATTGTCCTTTGTCCACCTCTTGCCTTTCTTTGATACACTTGTGCCTGCTTTATCTGAAAAGCACATTTAGTGAAAGACAAAAATACTTTTCTTTTTTCTTCATGAAATTGAAATAAGCCACAGAAATACATGCGGTTGCCAGCTGAGCTGATTGGGCTGGGCCGTGAATCAGGGATTTTAGAACTGCGAGTAGACAGTAAACAGAATGGGCCGAAACTCGGCTTCCCTCCATCCTAGTTGTTAGTTGCCTATAATGTGTTGGCTTTAACAAAGACCTGCACGGTTTGTTTTTCAGTGGGAAGTCTGAACATATCTTTTTCTTCAGCATATGCGTTTATCTTAAAAATCTTGGCAACGCCTCACATCATGCGGTCGTACGGGTTAGCGCTGGCTGGAATGGACCTTAAGCTGGTTTCTGATTGTGCTGCCCTTAAAGGGAAGGGGGCGTGTGGCGAGGGGGCCTGGGGAGGTCACCACTGCTGCAGCTCGTGGGCCGAGCGTGTGGAGGTTCAGAGAACACGTTAAGGACTCTGGTAAGTCTGTACTGCCTTTGTTGGAAACAGGAACGGAGCACATAAAAAATCAAGCTGTCCTGTTCAGGTCAGATCTTTCACTACTCACACTTTTTTTTTCAATCCCATTTCAAACTGGTGTGCACATCGCGACTCCAGCCTTTTGCTGGCTCCGTACACATATCCTGGGACACGTTTGAAATCTCCCCTTTCCTGTGTCTCCCCATGTTCATCCATGTCCTGTGTTGAGGACCACGGTCACATGTGTCTCCATCTAAGAATTTCAAGTCTATTAACTCGCATTCTTTTTTGTTTAATCTTTTTATTGGGGGCTTATACAGCTCTTATCA